TAGTTATAAAACTTGAGTTGTTTTAGACCCCACTAATTCATATTTGGAAGGGATTCTGTCCTTCGTTGAATCAGAATTATAGTTTTTTTATTTCGGGTTTTTCAGGTTCATAATGGAGGCGTTTGGTCGTTATGTTCCTTGGGAGGCGGTCGTATTGTATCTGCTGGTAAAGATCGTTGCCTAATAGAATGGAGTGAAAATTTGGTTAAATTAAGGGGACCAGTACTGGTATGATTTTCATTCATTGTATAGCAGTTTTTTTCCTTACGCCATTAACGCTACTTTCATGAGGAATAATCTATTCACGTATGATTATCTTGAAATTTACGACGTTTATGTTTGCTTAAAACTAAAAGTAAAGGAACAGTATAGATTAACTTCCTGCCAAAAAACGATTAGCTGTGTATTTTTACCAAGTTTTTTGTCCTCTTGGTTGGCAAGCTGTTCTAAGGAAGTTATATGAAATCATCATTACCGAGCTCTTCTGACTCAAATAACACGTATCCAACTTGATGGTTTTTTTTTGTGAATTTGTCGATAACTTTACGAAGGGCTTTGAGCTGAAAAGTCGATGAGGAAGTTAAAAAAGTTAGTTTTTGTTAGCTACACCTCGTCAAAGTTCAGAACCATTTCAGGTTTTTGCGCAGCGAGAACCTTACAGCATTTGCAATTTTCTTTTTTTATTTAAGATAAACAATTTTAAGTTTAGACGGGAAGTCTTTAAGTTGTTGAGTTAAATAAAAAAAAATCATACGAGTTATCTACTTGTAGCCAAGATATAAAACAAGCCAAACTTGGCGTTTGTCAAAGGTGATTTTCAACTTCAAAAAGAAGAAGATATGTATTTATATAATAAAAAGTTGCTTATATTTAGTTTACGGCCTTATAAAGTGAAAATTTTATGTTAAGAGGACGTCACAGTTGAGAGTTACAGCTACAGTAGTGATTGTTATTTGTCAGCGAAAAAAAACGTATTAGCACTGCGGTGAGTAGTATTTCTTGTCCGCATGTGGTTGCCACTTTTAGACATATTAGTTGTTTGATAGCATATTTCATAAGATTGCTTACCAACTAGCTTGTAACAAAATGAAGTGGAAAAGTATGTGCTTTTTAAGCCTTGTTTATTTTTGAATGGATTTTTTCTTTGTCTACTTGACGCACAAAAGGTGCGAGAGGAGGTGACCTTTAGTTTAATGCAAAGTGCGTACTCGTTGGATTTCTTCTTATTCACCCTCATGACATGTTGCAAACAGTCTGTTTCCTAATACATTTGGAAGAGTTTAACCGGAACCATGAAATCAGAAGAACTGAATTTTCCATCTCAGGAAATAGAGGAGGTGTTGCTATTCACCGAAAGTGCTAGAACTGATTGAATAGTAATATTTTTTCCGATTTTTGTCCTTAAAAATCCTTGTGAAAAGTTGATCTTACTCAAAACCACAGTGGAGTTGATCGTGTCTGTCGGATTTCCTTGTGTACGACACGTGGATTATGGAATTCCCGCAGTGGAACCTTTGATCATCGTTTCCTCTTTTTCCATGCCGATTTTAGAAAAACCATCATTTTGGTTTTACCTGTCGATGTATGTAAAAAATTTTAGCAGAGAGAAGGATTTGTTGAAAAAAACATTGCTGAAGCGTTGCACTCATCTACCATAGAAAATTTTGGGGATTACAACTTCCAATTTTCGTGCTAGCGTGCTCTAGAATTTTCGTACTTGTAAAGCAGGATGTTATGCATAAATCGTTTTTTATTTGACAAAGGGGTGGAAGACAAGTTTCTCTTAATATGCGTCTGAACTACTTGTTTGGGCTAAGAATGAAGAAAATTACAAATTCTGAGGAACGTTCCGACTGCGCAGAAAATCTGAAAAGTTGTAGCTCCACTCAGGGTTTGCTCTTCTTCGTCCTCATCTCGTTTTTTCAGACGCGGATTCAGAGTCTACGCAGTTTGAAACGAGATAGCTGCCCTGCCTTTGATGTTCTATTTTAAATATTGCTTTAGATATCTGAGGAGGCCGGAATCATTCGAAGTGTTGTGCCTACAAGAGGTTCTGGACTAGTAATTGGTACTACAAAGAATGAGATTCTGAAAGGTGACCTGGCCCAAGGCTTCAAGTTTGTCATGCAGGTATTCCGGAAGACGGAATAAAATTTTTTTGGATTATTTGCTTTTCATGCAAACTGGTCATAACTTGTGCTAAAAAAGCTTGATCCTAGCATTTGTGTATTGATTTCATCGTTTTTAAAGTGTCAATTTTCAAAAAATCTCTTCAAAGCAACAGCACTAGGTCATTATTCTGGAGAAAATTTTTAAAAAGATCAGATTTTAACTACAGGGGCATGCCGATGAACTTTGGGCGTTAAGTACTAGACCAACTTTACCTCACTATTTGACAGGGTCTATCGATGGGACGCTACGTTTATGGGATGCCTTCTCAAAGACAATGATTTGGAGCATGCTAATACAGGTAAATTTATACTTTATCTCATTTAAATAGTTCTGCTACTATGACTGGTAGTAGCACTATGTGATTAACTGAATATCAAGACGCGAAAGGATAAGCCAATGTGAGGCAATTACACCGTATGCGGGTCTAAGTCGTTCAAGCGGTTAGCGATGTTGCTATGTGACGAAGCCTTGCGTTTACCAGGACTTTGTTTGTGAACTGTCATAGTCTACTTTAGTCAAAACGTGAAAGTTTGAGAGTCAGCAGTGGCTTTGCTCAAATCAAGATAAAACACAGGTAAATGCCAGGCTTGCGTCGTACTTTGTTAAGTTTCAGTTGTCGTGCCCAACTCTGACCAGGTGGTAAGAAAAGTTCTCTCTCCAAAACGCGCTCCTCTTTTCATCTAACTTCTGTCTGCGTTTCACCAAATGACTTTTCATTTTTGCTGGAAAAATTCAATCGACATTTTTTTTTTTTTTTTTTT